AACAAATACAAAGATGAGTTTCTAACAGTCAACACTGGACTATGAGAGACAATCTGGGTTCTTTCCATCTCACGTATAATCACCAGGAACAAAAGGTTCTGCAGGCCAAGTTACATCCTCATTAATACTTGTGCAACCCCTTTGACTTGAATGAGGTTACTCAAATGTTGTATGCAGTGTTCTTATAGCCGTGTCGGTCCCAGGATATTAGAGAGTCAAGGTGGGTGAAGTAATATCTTTTATTGGACCAACTTCTGTTGGTGAGAGAGACAAGCTTTCGAGTTTTTATACAGAACTGAAGAAGAGCTCTGTGTAAGCTCGACAGCTTGTCTCTCTCACCAACAGAATTTAGTCCAATGAAAGATATTAACTCACCCACCTTGACTCTCTGTTACACAGATGTAACTGACTGGAACTTAGCAAACCAGTCTGTTGCTGATGCACAAGAAGGAATAGAATCTAACTCACTCTCCCACACAGCTGCATAATTTACAGGAGTAAAAAGCTGTGAAAACATACTTGTATTGCTAAAGAAAGCAGTTATAACTCTGGGCTTCTCTTCACTTCCAGAGAGATCGATACTACTGCAATTAATTTGCAGGTGTCGATAGCAGAGTGCTCTCTGATTGACTCTGGTACTCCACCGGAACGAGAAGAGTAAGGTAAGTCAAAGGGAGAGCATCTTCCGTCCACGCAGCACAGTGAAGACACCGCGGTAAGTCGACCTAAGCTACATCGAATCCAGTTACATTATTCACGTAGCTGGAGTAGCGTAACTTAGGTCGACATATCCCGGTAGTGTAGACAAGGCCTCAGAATACATCCAACGGACAGAACAGGTGAATGAAATGTCATTCTTCCAGTCATTTTTCAGAACAGAACCATGCTTAAAAGTATTCTATTAATTTCTGAAGCAAAAAAGTATTAAATGGCACTGGGCAAATATAAATATTTTTAGTTATTGCTGTTAAATTTTACCCTACCTGTCTGGTCCTGTCTTCTGTGACATTGCAAAAGGCAATTTAACAAGATTAATACAATTAAGGACAATACAGAACCACCAGGTTTGTTAGTTTCAAGAGCTTTCTGAATGGCCTTACCAGTTTTGTACCCTCTTCACTATAGCTGTCAACTAAGGGTTTCCGATCCAAAAGCTGAAAGATTCGTTGGGCAGAAACTTTAGCTTTGCCAAAATCTGGTGCCAAAGAAGTGGACAGCCCAACACTTATAACACCATATAGAACTGAAAAAAAGGCTCTGAAAACCAAACACAAAACATCTTTCAGTTCATCTAAAGAGAGACTTTTTTATTATTGTTCATAAATTACAAATATTGTTTTCCTTTTTTAAAATAAACAGACTTAACACTATCTATAAATCTGAGAATTGGGATATTTTTAGAATTTTATGGCTTAGAAAAATTACATACAAAGGATTAGAAACAGAGGTTTACAGCTACAAATATTTTTATGGGCGACTAATAGTATGTAATTTCTCCACGCAGAAGCATTTCACAAAGCCTGTTGTCTGCAATGAAGTGTCAGCAGTAAAAGTTTCTCCCATAGTAAATAAACTGAGCCAGGCTCTATACATGCCAACACAACTGTTTCAAGATTCCTCTCCCAGAAATAACCCTTCTGCCTGAATTGAACTCCTGACCAGATTCTAAACTGTTGGACCTCTTGCACTGTTGCCTCAGTAACTAGACTGATACACAATTACTATGTGTTGAAATCACTGCCTTTGAACTGATGTATACTCACATAAATATATTTTCAAGGTTTGTATAACAATTAGCAATGAGCCATGCCCCGAATCTGAAGATTGCTGCACTGAGAAAGTAGCTTGCACATTTGGCTATTCCATAGATAAGTCCATATAGTGGGGCTTTTGTTAGAGAGTCCCTGATAAAAGAAAAGATTTATGTTAAAGGAAAAAATTGTCATGAAATGCCAAGAGCAGAGACTGGCTGGAAGAAGATCAGACCTTTGGACTGGGGTGGCAAACCCTATACCTCGCTCACTCAAATAATAAATAATAATAATTAATAAAGCTGCACACTAGGGGCTCCATGAAGGTGCCTCTGGAGAGAACTTATGGCAAATGAGATCCCTTCATCCCAACTAGCTGTTTGCTGTATTGGACTTTACGATAAAATTACCTTTAATAGTCAAAATATTTTAACACTGGAATGCTGGTTTCTAGAATAAATATTTATGGATGGCCAAAGCAATCGGACACAAAGCAAATTGATAATTTCCATAAGTCCCTTATGATTTTTGAATGCTTGAATTTTTGGACAATTTGGATAAATGTAGTGGTCATCATAGAACAGTCCATGTCTACAACACAGCATAACTGAAGCACTGCAGATATTGGCTGTTCTGAGTACAGGAGGGGAAAAACTAGCAACCCAGACCCCACTGTACAGTGG